ATTTTTGGAAGCACTAGAATCATTCGCATCTATGTTATTGCTATGGCATTTGACAGCTGAGAGTTCTAGCTTCATTCTAAAAAAAAACTGAGCGATTTGGTTGAGTTTTGGAGATTTTACAAGTTGAAGATGGAAGACAAAACTGTGCATTTCTGCCATATTTTACTGTTTTATTTCCATAAAGGGGAGAACGCGCGTCAAAATTGTGAAAAGTTGCATAAAGTTTACAGTGACAATGCTCTACAAGAACATCAGTGCCAACGATGGTTCACAAAATGCCGTGCTGGTGATTTTGATCTCAACGACGCTCCTCAGTCAGGGAGGCCCACGGAGGTTGATGAAGACAAAATAAAGGCATTGATCGAGTCAAACCCATGTTACACGACACGAGAGATTGCAGAAACATTGAACATCAATCATTCAAGCCTTCACGACCACCTGAAGAAGCTGGGATAGTAAGCAAGCTCGATATTTGGGTTCCGCATGAACTCAAAGTTCATTTGACAGCACGTATAAACATCTGCAATGTGCTCATTAAATGTGAGGAAAACGATCCTTTTTTGAAGCGACTGATAACTAGTGATAAGAAGTGGATTGTTTACAATAATGTGGTGTGCAAACAGTCTTGGTCCTGACGTGATGATTTGCCTCAAATGACATCAAAAGCAGACATTCATCAGAGGAAGGTTATGCGCTCAGTTTGTTGGGATTTTAAAGGTGTCGTGTTTTTCGAGCTCCTTGAAGGAACCAAACTATCAATTTGAATATTGTCAGCAAATGGACAGTTTGAGTGAGTCCATCATCCAGAAATGTCCGGAGCTTGTTAACTGTAAAGGAGTTGTGTTCCTTTGCAACAACGCGAGAGCACACACAAGTTTGATCACCCATCAAAAATTATTGGAGCTTGGATAGGATGTGTTGCTACACCCACCATACTCGTCTGACCTTGTGCTGTCAGACTTCTACTTGTTTTGCTCTCTTCAAAACTCCTTGCGTGGTATACCGTTCAATGCAGATAAAGCTATAGTAAATCAGCACGTCATTCAATTTTTCACAAATAAAGACAGGTCCTTCTAAGAACAAGGAATTATGAAGCTCACTGAAAGATGGCAAAAGGTTATCAAACAAAATGGGCAATATATCATTGATTGACCTTTGTTCTTTATATAAATAAATGACCTTTGAAAAACACAGACAAAATACATCATGACTTTTCCAACAACCCAATAATATAATATTAGTATCAATATAATCCAAGCCACCAGAAGTTACAAAGTAAACATGTTTTTCATACAAAGAAAAACTGACAGAATCAAAATTAAGCAGGGAGCTATGTTGACATGTTTATTATAAATAACCTAGATTTAAATAATGTAATTAACCAGGCATTGGTAACATATCAAACAGTGTATCCTCAAGAGAAATTGCCCCAAACCCCATTTTTATCTTTTGCACAGCAACAGAACACTGTCATATATTAAGACACACATTTGCTTTCATAATACTGTAAAACTAAAACTAACTTTAAAAAACAAAAGTCCACTACAAACTACTAGAGCAAAGGGGAAAATGAAAATTACAAATTTTGAAAACAAAAAAGTAGCATCACTAAAGAACCAATGTAAATAAAGAAAATAGAAGACACCAGCACACTGGAATTGATAATGACAAGGGCCTAGAACATAAATTGTAAATGATTTAAAAATTATAATACAATGCTAAAAAACATAAAAATCTTGATGTAAGAGAGAATTTCAGGGGCAAAGCAAACCAAAATAAACAAAACACAGAAAGTAGAAATTTCACACACACACATACTTACACACACTACTGCCAGTGCCCACCCTACCTGAATCCACTGATTCATCAATGTCTCTACAGGAGGAACAAGCAAACAGTAATGTCCTCCTGATGTGATAAAATAGAAGCACACAGTACCCACATGTGGCCTAAAATGTTGAAACTGAATCTTATCTAATGTCCAATTAGATAAAACCAAATAATATAATGGAGAGTAAAATAAGTTAAATGACACCATGAGAAAGTAATTAGTCAAATCCAGAGTACGGGCTATGCTACAGGATAAGTAGCCTTGTTTCTTCAATAAACCCTTAGCATGACAAAAGGGGTAACAAAGGTGAGGGGATTGTTTTAGCTTAAAAGAGGCTTAAGAAACTTAAAACAAATGAAATACCTGGACCTCATTGGGACCTTGATTTGGAGAAATCAACTATAAAAAGGAAAACTGGAGGGTAGCTGGGGAAATCTGAATATGAACTGGGAATTAGATGAAATTAAATAATTAATTAAACTTTTGTCAGCTGTGATAATGCTATTGTGGTTAGGTAGGTAAAAGTCTTTATTTAGGGGGCCTCATACTACACTACATAGGACAGTAATGTCATGCTGCTTGAGATTTGTTGCTTGAGATCAGCAAAACACAAACAAGCCCAACAACTTCAAAAACACCAAAGAAGTATGGAAAAATATTAATAACTGTTAAATCTAGGTGACAGGTATATGGGGGTGATTGTATTATTCTCACTACTTTTAGCATGTTTGAAATTTATCATAATAAAAAAGTAAAACAAATTACCTGAGCAATTTATTAGGTCTTTCAATGTATTAGCTCTTTCAAATTTCCAACATATAATTCTTAATCTACATAACCCATTTCACAGCACATATACATACAAATAGACTCATATGATTGTGTATAACATAAACACCAAAACCTGACCAAAAAAGCGTTTTTAAAAATTACAGATCAATTTCACTTAAGACTATAGTCAGAAAAATTTCTAAAGGGTTACTAATAAATCAAATGCTATAGTATATTAAAAGAATTACTCAGAGGAGCAATCTAAAGAATAAAGGTTTCTGGCATATACAACTGTATACATAATTCCAATTTTGTAACATGTACTCATATAAGCTAAGAAGAAAAAAAAAAAGACCAAAAGCAAATACATCAAAATGTTAATGTGAATCTCTACAATGGGATTACAGTAGTTCTTGCGTATTATTCATGTTTAATATTTTTTGTACTATGCATTTTATTTACATCAAAAAACAGAAAAGCTAGATATATGTGTGTCTAAATAATTTTCAAATGTACTATTAAAACAATTTTCTATATGCAATAGTTGCTTATTAGTATTTGGTCAGCATGATCTTTGTTAAACTTTTAAGTTACTAATACACTTCTAGGGCAAATGTCTAACAAATGAGGCAACATAAATTTAATGCACAAAATAAAACTTCTTGAAATCTGCCAAGAGTGAAGCCATTTACAGAAGAAGTAAAACCATAAGCAAACAAATGCAAATACACATGTACATACAAATATGTATGTTAAAAAAAGGGTGGAGATAAAAGTCAAACATACTTCTGCTAAGTGAAATAATTGTAATTACAATAATCTGTGAGACCTGCTAATCATACATGGCAAATTATCACTTGATAGCTACTAAGCATGTTAATAATTTAATTCTACTTGATAACAATGGATCGTTCATATACACTCAGGTTTCTATTATTGACATAGTAACATTGATAACTCAGAACTTCAATAAGTACAAAGAAAGAAAAGCACATCATCAAAAAATATGGGCACAGACTACTCATCAAGGAAGACTAACTTCTCTGTTCTGTCCTAGGCATTCACATTCAGTCCTGGAAAAACCTAACTCCTACCTGCCAGGAAAGAGCTGTATCAGATGCACATTTCATTGTCAAAAGTCAACTATGCATATTTGGCTCAAGAGGAGAGGGGTTTTAAAATCAATAAAAGATGTCTGCACTTTAAGAATACAAATTAGGGGCCGGCCGAGTGGCGCAATGGTTAGGAGTTGGCTTGGGATGCCAGTTCTGCGGGCCCCGGTTCGGATTCCACATGAGGGCCAGTGACGCTGCACCTTCTACAGCTAAGATGGTGAACAACAGCTCGACCTGGAGCTGGGCTGCCGTGAGTCGCTGGCAACAGCATAGGCTGCAGTGGGGCTGGCCAGCAGTGGGCGTGAGCTTTCGTGAGCTGCCTTGAGCCACCGTGAGGCGGCCGTCCAATGGCCGGCGAGCAACTGCCTCACCCGGGAAGAGCACAATGATAATACCAACATGGGCCAGTGAAGCAACGTCCTCCACAACTAGACCGAAGAACAAAAAGACAGCAACTTGTCTGTTCCCCTTCCCCGATTCCCCAATGCTGTTCCCCCCACCCAATTCCCCAATAAAATCATAAAAAAAATTTTTTAAAAATTGAAATTAGTTTAAAATTTTAGTCTTTCTGAATGGAAGAAGGTGTGGCCTCCTTGTCTACACTTGGTACTTAGCTATATAGGTAGTTATAGGAATCTCCGTTTTTAAAAAGAATTGCGATTTTATTAATATATTTTACTTTTTACTAGATCAACAATAATTAGATTTCTTTAAAGATAGTTTTAGGGGGGAAAAAACCCTCCTAACATCTTTCCCTGAAATGTTTAAAGTTTTGTTATTTCTATTTAATACAGTTTCCCTTGCATATACAGATGACGACATAGATGGTGGACAGTAAAGTACTGTGTGTGGGACCGCTAGGGTGATGGCTAGAAAGAATGATACTTTATCATCTGTCCTTTCCAAACCAAACACACAATGGGTCACATTTATAGAATTAGTAACATGTGTAAGATATTGATGGCTGTAAAAGGATTTTTAAAATTCTAGAATTTTACCCATTGGGATTTAATTTCTTATGGGCCTTAAAGACTGGGCATTACGGAGAGGCAAAGTAGTCTCCTATTTCACACATATACGATGGGTCTACAAAAGCCTCAGAGACAAATATTTAAAGTACCAGGCCTTCAAAGAGAGTCTATGCAACAAACATTTATAGCACATTTTAGATCTCTACTTTTATAAATAAAGACCGAATGTCACACCCTGTAAACACTCTGCAAACACAGTGTAGGGTTTCTGTTGTGGAAGCCCCAACAGATGGCTCTGAGGGGTCACCTTACCTGAAAGAGCATCCTGGGCTTCAAAGAAAGTACTAAGACCCCCTTTCACATACGCCAGGCTGCCTTCACTCTTCTTGTTAGCCTGTCTCTTCAGGTGGGTGACGGCCATTTTGAGCTGTTCAAAGCTGAAATAAAATAAAGAAACCAAAAGTTTAAGACTGCTAACAAGCAAAAAAGAAATAAGATAATGCATTAAGTGTAAAATACTGATGCCTATATTACAAAAGACAAAGATTGATAGAATGTGTAATCAGATGAAAATATAAGTTTTCACATTCTTACCTAGAACAAAAAATTTTATTATGAATGCCAAAATTACAGCAGCTAGAAAAGAGATTAGTAGCCTTCAAATGGTCATTTCAAATACATCAGACCCCTATAAAGCAAATATACATGTTGATTTTTTATAACCAATATACAAGTATATCATATATATGATTTGCCAGGTAAGGCGTTCTGAACATCATCTCCCTGGTGGAAAGACTTAGGTCATGCAGTGGATGCTATCTAAGGCAGGACCTCCTTTGTATGTTCATTTCTGTATTCATACTGTCACCCTTCACCATATCAACACCCAATCCTGTCATCAGCAATGAAATTACAGAAAATCTGGGGAAGGGGAGTCAATTCACAATTTCAATAACTAAAAAGACCACAATATTTTATCTCTACGTCTCAAGAAGAGAAAAAATAGGCAGTTCTCTGTATTTCAGAAGTTTTATTTCCATTTGAGCTAAGAAAATCTGGCTATAAAACTTTGAATCTATTGAGTGCCATGATAGCCGTACACAAAATAGAGATCAATTCTGACTTACAGCAATCGAAAAAGCACATCCATAATGTAAAATTAAATTATAATGAAAGATTTCAGACATTTGCTTTAAAAATTTATCAAGCTAAATATAGTCTATGTACACACCAACTTTTCCTCATATTTTCTACTAATGGTTTTCATTTTAATAGGTGAAGAATTTCTCCTAAGGGATATTTTAACAAGATGACTTTTCAAGAATATAAACTTTATGCAATAAGCCATTTATTCTAATGTTTGCACAAAATTTAAACCAAGCTTGAAAAAAAAAATTACAAAGTTGATCTTGTAGCGAGAGTGGGTAAATGTAATTAGCAGACACGAAAGGAGCCCTTTAATTTGGATCTACCTTGTCTATTTTTTGCCTAATTTTAAACCAAGTCTTTGCAAAATGATAAACCACCTCATCAGGGATGGTGCGTTCCCTATTTTACACTCGGATTTAAAAGTTCTGTTATTTGTATAGGGAAAGGTTACATTCAGACTTCAGCTTAGGTACCCAGCTGAGACTCCACAAAGTTTTAATGGGTTGCACAAATAATGAAACACAGAAATAACATGATCACAGGAAATAAGGGTCCTGTAATTAATAACCCCACCTTATAAATAAGGAAATAGATACCACGAGATGTTCACGAGCTTACCCACAGTCAAAGGGCTCTGAAGTGGCAGAACTAGACCTAAAACCCACATAACTGTATAACCCTATTAGCTGCATCCGAGTAAAACCATTCACAGTCAACGGTCTAACATCACTAACCTGGTGGTTGAGTGGTTCTCTATAAGATACCAGGCAGCTGAAAAATTCTCACTTGTGAAGTCAGCACTCATTCCGGGGAACAGCATCTCCAAGTCCTTCTGAGGAAATTTACTTCTGAGGGAGAAAAAGGATTAAATACACGTCAAGTGCTAGATGTAACAGATGTCCAGGAGTATCTAGTGTAATAAACACAGTTACAATTATACATCATACATTATGTATGTATGTGTGCACAAAATAGATTTCCTACACTCCAGCTGATTTCTTTTATCAATTTTGATTATATATAAGATAGGAAGTTACTTAAAATATAGAAATTACATCAATATAAGAATATAAGATTTAAAGAAGCTAATGAAATCTGAATATGAAATCATTCCCTACTCAATAGATAAAAATAAAATTTGGATACAATGAAATCTGAACGTAATAAATCAGTTTGTTGAAATGATTTTTGTTAAAGACCTATATGCAAACATTTTTAAGGCATACTAATTAATACCTAAAGATAATACTTATGGATAAAATTAGATCGAACTATACAGTACTCATATTTACATGCCCATGTCTGAAATAATTTTAAGAAAATCTTATGATAACAGCCAATACATTATCTGCAGCTCACTTTTTTGCCTACATTTTTAAGGTCACCTTCCAGATCAATTCATTTATTAATTTGTTCAAATACCAATTAAATATGTACTGTAGGTCGAACTCCATGCTGGAGGTCAGGCAGCTGTGTCTGAGAGCAAAAGTAACAAGGGCAGACGTGCCCACCAAGAGCGTATGAGCTAGCAGCCCTCACTATGTAGAATACTTCATATGTGCACAGTGAAGTCCAATTTCTACATGACCCAAACCTGCTTATCTCTCAGGACTCATTTCTGCCACTTTAATCCTTAAACCTGAAGCTTCAGCAACTTCAAAGAGACTGTACTTTCCTGCACACATGGTGTTCATTTTTACTTCACTCCTCTGTGCCCACCGACTGAAATGTCTTCCTCAACACTACCCACTGCAGAAGCACAACTCACAGGGTATGAATAGGATATAACATTATTTTATAGCCCAGTGTCTCTCAAAAATGTATTCAGTGGGCAAAATTACCCCCATCCTCGAAGAAAGCATGGGCAGATCTGATGACTTCTACTCACTCTTATCTGAGTCTTGATGCCACGCTATTGCAAACACAGCCTCAATTCAGAAATCAGGCAACCTAGTCCAAATCAACAGTCCATCTTCACCCGGAGGTACTACCTGGGTATGCCCCTTGACCTGCAGGTGACTAGTCCCCCTTAAGCACAACTTCACAATGGCCTGGAGCCCACTCTCTCCGGGGAGGTAGGTGCTCATCTGGTGGCAAGGAACACACCTCCCAAAGCTGAGCACCGTGCACTGTTCCATGCTCCTGGGTGCCAGGGCCTCTGTCTCGTGGCTGCAGGGAACACGTTCCCCATGGATGCCCCACTCAGCAGGCATGGGTGAAGGAGAATACACATTCTCCATCCGCCCTGTCATTGCAGCCTAGCACAGATTCCAGAATTATCTTATGAATCTCCCCCTTCTCTACTGGCTCCTTTATCCCTGCATATTCCCTACAAGTGCAAGGAATGCGAGCAGCAAAACCGGTTCCCTGGGATTTCTTCTGTAAACCCTGCACTTTACTCTAGAATCAACATTTATCATATCAGGACCTCAGTCAAGAGAGAAAAAGTCCTACAAATGATGAAGTTCACTTTTGTAATGAGGGGAAATAAAACCCTGCTTAACACTGTAGTAAAAGACAAGAAGATGAGATGAGACTTGAAGAAAATCATGGACATCAAGCTGGCATCACCTCAGTTTCAGTAACTCAGAGACTAAGCCAACATTACATCTTCCTTCCCTGGCTTAAAACGTTAAAAGAGGACAGTCTAAAAGTTGAGAGAGAGAGAGAGAGACAGAGAGAGAGAGAGAGA